CTCCTGTATTATCTAATCAAGGGTTCCGTTTCTATGCAATCTTTATTGATGAATATACAAGGTTCTCTTGGTTATTTCCCCTTAAACAAAAGTCAGAGTTCTTTGAGGTCTTTGTGGCATTTCAGAAGCAAGTAGAAAACCGTTTCTCTGTTAAGATAAAACAGTTCCAGAGTGATGGCGGAGAAGAATTTCTAAATCTACAAATGAAGAAACACTTGCTTCACTGTGGGATTGAACACAAAGTGTCTTGCCCTTATACTCCTGAACAGAATGGCCTAGCTGAAAGGAAGCACAGGCACATCATAGAGCTTTCCCTCTCCATGATGTTCCACAGTCATATGCCCCTTCAATTTTGGGTTGATATCTTCTTCTCGGCGTGTCACATAATCAATATGCTCCCTTCTCCTGCTTCTAAGAGTCCTCATGAACGGTTGTATGGTCAGAAACCAGAGTACACAGAGGTGAGGGTAATTGGTTCTGCGGTATATCCCTGTCTGAGACAAGTTACAAGTCATAAGCTAGAGCCAAGGTCATTGCAGTGTGTGTTCCTTGGGTATTCTTCTCAATACAAGGGTTATAGATGTCTGCATCCACCTACTGGTAAGGTATATATAACGAGACATGCAGTGTTTGATGAGGAGTGCTTTCCATTTAAAGATAGCTATAAGGAGTGTGTCCCACGATATGAGACTCCTATCCTTCGAGCTTGGCAGAAGATGACTACATTTGTTCAAGAAGAAAGTGAAGGCCAGATTTCCAGAGCCTTACCTCTTCTTAACAATGGACCACCTACTTTGGTTCCTGCTGAGCAGCATCAAGGTAATGAGACTCCTCCAGTAATTGTTGAGCCAGATCAGGAAGCTGCACAAGTTGTTCCTCAACAAGAAGCTGCAGCAAATACTCATCCGATACAGACAAGGGGAAAGGCTGGTATACATAAGCCAAACACTCGATATGCGTTGTTGGCTCCTAAATACTCCATCAAAGAACCGAAGAACATCACTGAAGCAATGCAGCATCCGGGTTGGAATGGTGCAGTATTAGATGAGATCAACAAAGTGCACATGCTTCACACATGGGACTTAGTTCCAGCACCAGCAGGGGTTAATGTTTTGACAAGTAGATGGGTCTTTACGGTCAAACTTAAACCTGATGGTACTGTGGAGAAACTAAAAGCACGGCTGGTTGCAAGAGGTAATCACCAGGAGGAAGGACTTGACTACCTGGAAACATTCAGTCCAGTTGTTCGAACAGCTACTATCAGGATGGTTCTGCAAGTGGCAATTGTGAAGGGTTGGTCTATCAAGCAGTTGGATGTGTCGAGTGCATTTTTACATGGGGAATTGCAGGAACCGGTATACATGTATCAACCTGCAGGTTTTGTTGATCCAAAGAAACCTGATCATGTATGTCGTCTAACTAAAGCTCTTTATGGACTCAAGCAGGCACCAAGAGCATGGTTTGATACTTTTAGCAATTTTTTGCTTGATTTTGGTTTCTCCTGCAGCAAGTCAGATCTGTCCTTGTTTACGTTACATCATCAAAACCAAACCCTGGTGTTACTGCTCTATGTAGATGACATCCTTGTCACATGAAACTCTGATCAGCTGACAAATGAGCTACTAGAAGCATTAAGCAGACGATTTTCTATGACGAATTTGGGAACACCAAAGTACTTCTTGGGGATAGAAATGAAAGCTCACAGTGGAGGTATGTTCCTGCATCAGAAGGCTTACACAAAGGACATATTGTATCAAGCTTCAATGCTTGATTGCAATCCCATGCCGACTCCTCTGCCTCAGCGGATAGACAAAGTCAACACTGATCCATTCCCTGAACCTACATATTTTCGGAGCCTTGCAGGTAAACTGCAATATTTGACAATCACTAGACCTGATGTTCAGTTTGCAGTTAATTTTGTGTGTCAGAGAATGCATCTTCCCAACATGACAGACTTCGGATTGTTGAAGAGGATATTGAGATATCTGAAGGGCACTATGAGTATGGGTATGAATGTGATGAAGAATTCAAGTCTGGTTCTGTCTGCGTATTGTGATAGTGACTGGGCTGGTTGTAGAGAGACAAGACGATCAACAACTGGCTTTTGTACTCTGCTTGGACCGAACCTCATCTCCTGGTCTGCTAAAAGACAGGAAACGGTATCAAGATCTTCCACAGAGGCAGAATATCGAGCTCTTACATCAACTGCTCAGGAGGTCACTTGGCTGTCTTATCTTCTGAGAGATCTGCGAGTGTCACAAGCTGAACCGACAAAGCTTCATTGTGATAACTTGTCTGCGGTATACCTTAGCACCAACCCTGCAATGCATAGTCGGTCTAAGCACTTTGACACTGACTATCATTACATACGGGAACAGGTAGCTCTTGGTGTAATTGAGACACAACACATTCCTGCAAAGCTGCAACTTGCAGATATCTTTACTAAACCTCTGTCTCGGAAGGTATTCTTTGAATTGAGACACAAACTTGGTGTACAAGTTCCACTGTACACAAGTTTGCGGGGGAATGTGAGACAGAAGGTGATGGGCCTAGGAGAGGAGAAGGCCCAGAGAAAAGGTAAACAAGATGATAAAGAAGAAGGCCCAAAGTGTACTCGTGAAGCACACATCACAACGGTCGTGAGAGGATCTACGACTAGTCTTGGTACGGAAAGGAGGAGGCTGAACACGACAAAGCCAGCTACTCTAGTCAAGAACAGATTTGATACCCTCTTATCCTTAAACGATGACTAGGCTCTTTGACAGCTATGATGTTGATAAGATCTAGTGTTCCATAGTCTACTATAAAAGACTCATGTAAACCATTGTAAACGTTAAGCTGAAATAATATTCATTCAGATTCCTGTCTCTTATTATCATCTTCTTTAGATGGAAGTGCTCTAATCACGCTCCTATACTTTCTCATATACTGTATATTAAAAGTAGATAATCAAGAGATATGTGTTAAAAGAAAAGATAGCAAGAGATTATCCTATAATTAGTCTATAACTATAAGCCTGAAAATATAACATTACATGTTCTGGAAATTTATCGAAGTTGATTTCCTAGTGGAGTACCAACTAATACTTATCAGCACAAAAGTTTTTTGAAGAACAATTATTTCATTGTGAAGAATTATCCAACACAGCTCTCATTTTTCTTTTTTACATTCTGCATCGCTTCGTCTTCCTTAATGTACTTTAACTAAAAAATGCTTATTTCATCTTAAGGCATGTGAAGATGAGAACAGTCTTCACATGGAGCCACGTGCCTTGTTTCTTCACTGGTATATATTTACTGTTCTAATATAATATTTTTTAGCTTCAGAACTTTTGTGTGGATAGGCCAATAATTGAGATTGTCGGCTCGTCGCAATTCACCAATTTTTCGTCCGAAGAACTCCTTTGACACATAGAAATACTATTGGTTAATAATAGACTAACCCAGTCAGACTAGACTAGTCTATTATAGAACGTTTGATGTATTATATTTAGAGCTTAAAAGCATTTGTCGTAAACTCTTGTTAGTATAAACTACCGTTCATTCCAACCTAAAAAAATTCAACAAAGATGCATTTCACCATCCGGTTTTTGGTTCACATCAAGGTTTGTAACCAAATTGGTGCGCAAGTGTCTAATCAAATCTTGGAATGTATGTAAGTAAGATTTGCTATCTCGCTCGCCATCCGGTTATATTTGATATGTCTAATACGAGATCAAAAGATGAAATCAAAGCACTAGTTTCTTGTCGATAAGGCTGAAAGCTTTGACCATGTTGCAAAAGCCCTTCAACTGCCTACTTTAGAGTGAGATTCGAAGATATGTTCTTGTTGGAATTAATATGTTTTGGTTGTATATACTCATATTTATGTACTAATGTGTATCCTAAAATCTTATTCAATATTTTTACTCTTAGTATAGAACAAAAGGGATATATCTACCCGCAAGAGTTAGGATGACTGGTGGTGCAACATGGAAATTGAGCACAAGATAAATGTGCATATGTATGATTTATTTTTAGCCGAATATGATAACAATATTCACAAGTTCACAACAATTGGTCCCTCTTTTTATATCATGCATGTGTCGTATACATACGAGTTATTATATAATTGAAAATAAACGAATAAATATAGGATCAAGGAGCACTGCTTGAAAGATACACATGAAGAAAAATGATAGGAAAATTATACACAAAAGAAGACTACGAATTTATAGAACCAAAGTCCAACGCAGTTCGGATCGTTGGTAGACTCATCTCCTTGATTATCTCCAACTATTCTCCCATATCCCCATTACATAACTGTTATTATTCCATACTCATAAAATAGTAGAAAAATTCATCACTGGTAGATCAAATAAAAAAATATTAGCAAAGCTGTATATTCATACAAAGCACTATTTTAATTTTCTTGATTTAGTAGGTTTTGTAGAGCAGGGAAGAGCATACACCGGATCCATCTGAACTTTTTATAAAAAAAAATTGTAAACTAAAAGAGAAAATATCATTTCATTCATATATTTAAGCTTCCTTGTTTTCCATTTCATACTCTAATCTATAAGTATAGCAAGGAGTCATTACTCACTATGAAAGAGATGTAAACCATAGTTGCTTTCTGCTGGGAAAAAAAAAGTTGCTTTCTTACATCAACCATGAAAAAATCGACCCATTTATTTATCTACTAATATCATCGAGCAAAGCGGGATTTTACATACTCTTAAAATTAATTATGGTTGTATTTCGTATAAATATGCACTATTTTAGTTTTGATAATCAATCCGCGCAAAATAATATTTATGTAAATAGCACATGCATGTCCAAAGAAAATGTAGACAGATTTATTAAAGTCGATAAATAAAATTAAAAAGTGATGGGGTCAGCTCAGTCTCGGTGCATGTTAACTCGATGCACGTTCTCGACCACTTCACTCTCTCTCTATTAAAGACCTAAACCAGTGACCACTTTGTGTGTGAGCACGTCTGAGTTGAAGTACGAGTCCTAGCGTGTGTGTGAAGAGTAATAATGGACTTCTACGGCTTATCTTCACCAGACATGCTACCTATTGACGACCTTCTAGACTTCTCCAACGACGAAATCTTCTCCTCTTCCTCCACCATCGTTTCCTCCACTACTTCTTCCGCCGCATCTTCTTCAGAAAACCCTTTTAACTTCCCCTCACCGGTCTCCACTTCCTTCCACACTTCTCCTCCTCTCACCAATTTCGCCCATGATCTATGCGTTCCCGTAAGTTCAAAGTTCAATTCCACTGCGTCTAATTTTTTTGTATTTGTCAAAGTCTGGTCCTAAGATTTACAAGACCTAAAACAGTTACGGACTAACTATTCAATGATCCATACATATATATAAATTTTCTTTTGTCAAATATATATATTTAGTCCTAATCCAGTGATTTCACCACTAAAGTTTTGAAGAAAAAGTAAATGTTTCTATGTATATGACGCCCTCTGTTTTGTCAACTTAAGGTTCTTTTATTTTCTTAATTTTCTTCTTTCTTTTTTTCTCAGAGTGACGATGCAGCTCATTTGGAATGGTTATCACGATTCGTGGACGACTCTTTCTCCGATTATCCATCGAACCCACTAACCATGACCGTGAGGCCTGAGATGTCATTCACCGGAAAACCAAGAAACCGTCGATCAAGAGCCCCAGCACCTTCCGTTGCCGGGGCCTGGACACCGACGCCAGAATCAGAGCTTTGTCACTCCGTCGCAAAACGTAAGCCCAACAAGAAACTCGAAGCGACGGATGGAGGTGGAGTGAGGAAGTGCACGCACTGCGCGTCAGAGAAAACGCCTCAGTGGAGGACGGGACCGCTCGGGCCTAAAACGCTTTGCAACGCCTGTGGAGTTCGTTTCAAGTCAGGGAGGCTTGTGCCGGAGTATAGACCTGCGTCGAGTCCGACGTTCGTGTTGACTCAGCATTCGAACTCTCACCGGAAAGTTATGGAACTTAGGCGACAGAAGGAACAACTTGAATCGGCCGTCCAGTTTCCGGCGTTTCAGCCGCAATGATTTGCGTTTGCGTTTGGGGTTTTGGAGTTACGAGTTTGGTGAGTGTCGTAATCGTAACGGCGATGATCACGTGACAGAGGGTATTAGTATAAATCAAATTTCTGCTAATCACGTTATTAATTTTATTAGTAGTTTTCACTTACATTTCTTTTCCTTTTAATTGGTTTACGTTTTACTCCTTAAGTTATATAGTTACATTATTTATGGGCCGCATTTAATTTTCTCCCTTTCAGTTATAAAAGCCTCCCAACTACCACAATTGACGCTGCTTTATGTGACTTGCGATTCAAATTATATCATACATGTTGCTTCTTCATACATGCATGGATGCTTAAGAAGTTGATTACACACTCGCGAGGCCATTCGTTTTAGTGCTTTCTTAAAGAAACTTATCATAGTCAAATGACACTCAAGTTGATTTGTTTAGGTTGTAAAATTAAGCTTCATGTCTGTCAAGGGACTGTAAGAGACACTCGTGTAAAGAAAAACAAAAAAAAATTGCTATGTCGAGACACTACTCAAAGAGAAACAACAGAACTCAAGAACATGAATACAATCTGACTAAACTGAAAAATACTAAACGGTAAAAAAGTGAATGCGCATTGCTTGCTTGTTTCCTTCATTTGCTCTTCTTGACAAAGTAGAGCTTGCCCATGACACGAAGTGATGAAGAACATCAACAAAAGCAATGAAACCAATGCTCATAATTAATACGCACAGCATTTATAGAAATCTAAGTTCACATTATTTTGGAAAAAAATGTGGGCTAAAAATTATTGAGATTTAAATTGTACTTTCATATATTCAATTTAGAGTTCAATTTATAAGAAATTGCACTTTCATAAATTTTGTTCTCTCTCTGTAGACTTGTTGATAAGAAACAACTTGTTATGGAAAACCTATTCAAGCTTGAGGCCAAGCCCATGTTTTTCTATTTCCATTTCATGAGGCAGCCTATTTTACTACTTAAAAATTAGTCACGCTCCACAATGAAAACTTTTATTTTCTACTATTGATCATCCCAACAAAAGTTTGTTTCTCCACACGGATTTTATTAAAAGGAACTCCAGGTGAATACAAATCCCTAGTTAACTACAAAATTTTGAGTTTTAAAGAGAGGAAAATTAACCAAGAAAGAGAGGTGAGTCATGAATGAAGCTTCGCGAGACATACGTACATGTAAGTACGTATATCAGTTAAAGCATTACTAGTATTATTTTACATAGATCGTGACTACGATTTACCAGATCGAGACGCAGACATATAGTACGTACTGAGTTTGACCAAAAAAAATATAAATAAATGTAAGATATTGTAAAAATTGTCAAATTAACATAAAATAAGTACTGCTTGGCATATATCGGCCATTCTGCATTCTAGTTTAACGATTTATTGTTTTATTTATAAATTATTTCTAGTTTAATTACATCAATTACTATTGTTTATAATTGAGTGCTAACGGACCTACTTTTAAAGACTTTTATGAGATTAAATAAGTGTTGGATGATTTGGAGACGAATGTTATTTTCCCTCTTGGTAATCCTGCACCGTTTAAGAAGATGGGAGTGAAGCCACCGAGTGGGATTCTATTGCATGACCACCTGGCTGTGGAAAGACTCAGTTGACCAATGCCATAGCCAATGAAGTTGGTCTTCCCTTTCATCAGATTTCAGCTACAGAAGTCGTTTCCGAAGAGAATATTAGAGAGCTCTTCTCTAAAGCATACATGACTGATGCGATTGGATCAAAGAGAAAGAGAGAGAACCAGCAAAGGGATGAGATGGAGAAGCCGAAACTAACTCAATTATTGACTTGTATGGATGGGCCTTGTAACAAAAGAGATGAAAATGATACTGATTCTAGTCCTGGCTATGTTCTTGTCATTGGAGTTACTAATAGGTCTGATGCTCTTGATCCTGCTCCGAGGAGAAGTGGGCGATTCGAGTGCGAGATTTCTCTAAGCGTTTCTGATGAAGATGCCAGGGCTGAGATACTCTCTCTTTTAGTTCAAAGACTTAGACTTGATGAAGGTTCCTTTGACATGCTCCCTTAACACCGGGTTTTGTTGAAGGGTGTAGCTAAGACCATCTCCATCCATTAGTACCTCTAATGGGTACTTCAAATTAAATTAATGTTTAATTTAGTGATTTGAAAGCTTTAGAACCTTTATTAATGTATTTAATTTTTTCATCCTCCATTGGGAGAACTTCATTGAGGTACTTAAAATTTTATTTTTTTTTAATTTATTTTTAAAGTTGAATGATTTGAAAGAAAATGAAACATAAATTTTTTATTGAAAATGACATAAAAGCATAATAAAAATACAAATTACAAATCGTAAACGAGAAAAACGGATTAGTTGAAATCTTCAATTGTTCCAAATTTTTGCCATATATTCTCAATCAAATCCGCTTTCAATCGTTGATGTATTGCTCTATCACGAATTTGATTCTGAGTGTTCATCATATTGTTGAGATTTGAAGACATATATGTTGAAAACGAGAAATCCACTCCTGAACTTTGGTTTGAATCCGGACTTTCGAAAACTGAAACATCAAACTGAGTATACCCATCTCGTTCGTCTTCTACAATCATAGTATGTATAATGATACATGCTCTCATTATCTTTCCAATTTTTATTTTATCCCACAAAAGAGCTGGATTTTTGACTATGGCAAATCAAGTTTGCAAGACCCCAAAAGCTCGCTCGACATCTTTACGTACAGCTTCTTGATGTGTAGCGAATAAGGAATGTTTCGGACCTTGCGGAAGTGGAATAGATTGGACAAAAGTAGCCCATTTTGGATAAATACCATCTGTGAGATAGTAAGCCATTTGGTACTCGTATCCGTTGACAATGTAATTAACTTTTAGAACTCGACCTTGTAATATATCATCAAAAACTGGTGACTGATCAAGAACATTGATATCGTTTAATGTACCCGGAGGTCCGGAAAATGTGTGCCATATCCAGAGGTCTTGTGAAGCTACAGCCTCTAGAACAATTGTTGGCTTTCCTGATCCACGTGTATATTGACTTTTCCATGCGGTGGGACAATTCTTCCACTCCCAATGCATACAACCAATGCTTCCTATCATCCCGGGAAATTCGCGTAGCTCTCCAATATCGAGTAGCGTTGAAGATCTTCTGGCGTGAGTCTTCTTAGATACTCATCTCCAAATATATTTATAACTAGGATAAGACCCGCGTCTTGCGTGGGATGAAGTTATTATTTTTATTATGTTTTGGAAAATGAAACAAAAGTTCGGTTTCATCTAGATTAAGGATGTTCAATCTAGATATCGGGTTTCAGTATTTTGGTTATTAAAATATAACTACTATTCTAAATCCATATTTACTTCAGTTTGATTTGGTTTATATATTGATTTTCAGTTTATTCAATTTTATACCAAAATACATCATTATTTAATTTGAAATCATATTATATATTATAAAAATAAATAATATGATCATATTTAGAGTCATATTGTCAAAAAGTCATTTACTAAAAAATATATTATATATTTAACTAAAAGAATAAAATACAAAAAAAAGGCTTCTATGATCTAATAAAATGATCAAATCTAGAATTAATATCAAATCTCTAAATTTTGAAAATAAAAATAAAAACAAAACAGAAGCATGAAAGAAAAGTTTTTATATTCTTCCATATTTAGTGTTCATCAAATTAATATGTCTTCGATTGAACACAACTCTGTTTGTTTAAAGATTAAAAAATTGTAAAGAATATCAACTAATTGTTGTCCATCAAATTTATAACTTTTACTTCAATTTAGTTTTTATTAAAAAAAAAAGATGAAAAAAATAAGAAGCCTCAGTTGCACTAAATTGTTAGTTAATTATATTTCAAATGATTCAAGTGATTTACAAATCATAATTATAGTTCAACTCATGTAACAAATAGATATACATATTTACATGTTTCAGTTTAATCGATTATAAATCAAACCATATCCAAATCTTACGGTTTTTATAAAATCACATACATTCGGCTTGTATGGTATATACCAAAAATAACCATATTATCGATTGTGTTAATATCTTTAAAAAATAGAAAATTTAAAAAAGAAATAATATATTTAAATCATTGATAACAAAAATTTTCAATGTGAAAAATTTCATACGTTTATAATTTATAAATGTTCTTGAAAATTCATTGAAATTTTCGAAATTAAAATAAGTATGTAATCTTATACGGTATATAGTTTAATCTATATATATATATTTTATTATTGAATGATACTTTTTACTCATATGGTTTTAAAATCATGTGTATCTTTTTATAATAAAAATGTTAAACTATTGATCATTAAATTTTAACATAATAATTTTAATAGTTTTAGTCATTTATTCTTGGTTTTTTAAATTCAAAATATAACATATACGAAAAAAATCTAAAGTTTAATTTTATAGCTAATTTGATTGTTTGATTTATTTTAATAATATCAAATTAAAAAAAATGATGGAGGAGATACAAATTGTTATCAAATATTTATTATTAAAAAAATTAATTGTCATATATATATTTGTCATTTATGGTAATTCCGTAGCTTTTATTTAAGGAAAGAAAATAAAATAGTAATTATATCATAAATGCTTCTATCATAAATATCATATCATATCATATAGTTTGACCAACAAATATATCTAGCGACATATAAAAATCGAATGTGGACCAACTTATTTTTCAATTGAATGTAATTGACTACCTAATTGAATGACACATAAGCATGGGCATGGGTTCTTTTTTAATTATTACAAAATTGAGGCTACAATTTTTTAAATGTTTCTCAATTAATATATAGGAGATTCCTTGAACAAAATGTTAATCTAAGCATAAAAGCGCGGTGGTCTCATCAAGACGAAGTATTCGTCAACCGCATCAGCTGGGCAACCATATGCCATCATACGAATTGCTGCCGTTGGTTTTTCTTTCTTACATGGAGATAAATTACTAGTAGTCAATATTTTCATATCAGAAACTAATATGGACAAATGTCTTATCATATATCTACTGTATATCGGTGGTTGGATCTTTAACTGGATAAAATTCATTGGATTAAGGATGATGCAATAATAAACAGATCGAATAGACTATTGCTTAAGTTTATTTTCACAGTTATACAATTTAAAAATCAACACTAAAATTTCTTAACTATTTTAGACAGAATTTTGAATTAGTGTACCGTTAAAAACTGCATTATCTATACTATTAAAAGTGAAGGCACCCTTGAAAAATCGACTAATAGAAGTTATGTGCACCCTTCATTAATGGCATTTTGGTAATTTATTTTCGTCTTACATCTATATATATATCAATTTGTTAGAAATCATATCACATATTGCATATACCCGAATTATTCTCTCTTTTTCCATTAATTACTCTAATCATTATTTATTCTCTCTTTTTCCATTAATTATTTTTCTCTTTTCCCATTAGTTACTCTAACCATATTTCATACTATATTTCATACATTTATTGATTTCCAACATTATATTACACTATTTGGTATAACATCATATATGGGCTTTATAACCACATTTCATACTATATTTCATACATTTATATTATATTATACACCTTATATTACATGATTTCAATCTATAGATTTTCGGTATTATACTTTTATGGTTGACTTTTTTTTGGTATATAAATCATATATAGACTTTATAACCATATTTCAAACTATATTTCATACATTTATATTGTGTTATACACCTTATATTACACGATTTCAATCTATATATTTCCAACATTATACTTTTTTGTTGACATTTTTTGGTATATGCATCAATACATGGACTTTATAAACCTTCATTTCATTTATATTGTGTTATAGATCTTGATTTCATGATTTATCTTTATATATGAAATATGTTTTCATGTCTCACTAAATTTACCCGTATTTATATTTCATACAAATATATTGTGTTATATTCAATTTATATATTTCCAACACTATACTTTTTTGGTTGACATTTTTTGGTATATGCATCATACATGGACTATATAAACCTTCATTTCATTTATATTGTGTTATAGACCTTATATTACACGATTTCAGTCTATAGATTTCCAACACTATACTTTTATGGTTGACATTTTTTGGTATATGCATCATACATGAACTTTATAAACTTTCATTTCATTTATATTGTGTTATAGACCTTCATTTCATGTTTTTCTTCATATATGAAATATGTTTTCACATATCACTAAATTTACATGTATTTATATATCATAGTTAGACGACATATAGTGATATCAACCAAAAATATATATCATCACTCTCATGTTGACATTTACTGGATAAGATACGTTTTGTTAAGAAAATATTGCAAATACGGTTTTCTATAATTATCTTCCTACTAAAATAAAGAAATTGATTTACCTACAAGTTATAGATTACCCACAATCAATATGTAGATTCCATAAATTTCGGTAACTTACCGTCGTTGGATTACCATTAACTGTTAAACTTTAAACTTCCTAACTAATTCAAAATCTTTAAGAAATATTCTTTATACCTCATAAGAGATATTTTAAAAAAATCGTATGAAATATTCTCCCCTACATTCGCGTAACCTAATTGTATATTGTCCATACATATTATAAATATAACTTCTCTTAACCATTATATTTATCATCTCTTCGAAAACCTAAAACAAAAATGGCGAATAATTTGCAGTTGTCTTTCTTGAGCGATATAAAACCGAGGAAGACTGTTGTTGCATCCAATTCAAAATCCTTCATACGTGAAGACATTTCATGAAAGACTAAGGGAGTCCATGGAACTAATCCTTTGTGATGCAAATGTAAATTTATCCTTTTGTATAGATTTTTGATTTCGATATCTTCATTTCGTTAAAATTTTAACCTAAATGATAATGTTTTATGTTTATATAGGGAAGTAAAATCCATGTCTCGTGTAACAAGACATACATTCCTTGAGACAGATGTTTGTTAATCCTGAAATACCAGAGACAGATGAATTTAAACAACGGTATTTATCTTCTTCAACAATAATGTTTTCCTTTATAATATTATTGACTAAATTATAAAACTTATTTATAATCGCAGAGGTAATGATGATTCTCGAGCGTTAACCCTGGTTGAATCAAAATCGCAGAGGTAATGATGATTCTCCATCGATCCGTTTTAGGATTATGTTTGTTTAGAAATGATATTTTAGTTATGTTTTGAAAATCGCGTTATGATGATTCTCGAGCGTTAATCCTGGTTGAATCAAAATCGCGTTTTGTTTTCACCCGATAATTTTCATTTTAAATAATATTTGTTTTTTTCTTGGTGATTTATTGACTGATTTATTTATATGAAAAATGCATAGTGTTGTATAAGACAGATCAATATACTATGATATAATAAACGGAAATCGATTTATACTATATTTGCTGCATATTAAAACATAAAATGAGATACTTGGAGTAACAAATCTCATTTGTTACTCTAGAATCTTGCAATATTTAAGTTCTTCCTTATATACTTAGAGTTATTTTTGACTTTCATAAAAAAATTATTTTTGAGTTACCTTTGACTCTCATAAATTAATTTAATATTTTATTTTATGGTCAACAAAAAAATATCCGCCCTTCTTAAGCGCGGGTCAAAATTGAATATTATTTTTATTGTTCAAAAATCATAGATGTAATTATTTTAACTAACATAAATAAACTATATAAGATACGCGGGTCAAACTTGAATATTATTTTTATTGTTCAAAAATCATAGATGTAATTATTTTAACTAACATAAATAAACTATATAAGAAGCGCGGGTCAAAATTGAATATTACTTTTATTGTTCAAAAATCATAAATGTAATTATTTTAATAAACTATTTAATCCAAGCGCGGGTCAAAATGTAATATGTGTTTTAATTTTTCATACTCTCACAATACTTATTTTTTTGATTCTCTGTTCAACCACAAACTGACTCGGTTATGCAAAACTCAATAAAAAGATCCTACTAAAACGTTAAATATACATCAAATTTCACATATAAAACTATCATATAATAAAAATAGAATCATTTGATACATTTTGTTACAACCAAAATAAAACCCGCGCTTCTCAAGCGCGGGTCAAAATCTAGTATATGTTAAGAAAACTATTAACAAAAATTTATAAGTGTTTCACTTGATCTTAAGTATAGAAAAATAAGAATTCTTAATAAATTCAGATAAACCACATTGTAAATATAATGACAGTTGATGTATGTATGCTTGCACACCACAATATAAATGAATGCAAATCTAATTTCGAAAAACTAACAAAACCTATTATATTTTCCCCTCATGCTTACTAAAGTTAACCACCACCAATAAATCAGATAAACTTTCATTGAACGGTTATGATTTTGTTATAGGTTTTGTTTCTAAAATAACAAAATCTCATCATTTGTTCTAATAACCTTTTTTAAGATTTAGTTTTCCTAAATTTTAGGATAGCTATTATTGTTTTCTTTTTAGTTGGAAATCTAGAAACTATTTAAGTCTGATTTTTCTCAAACTATAACAGGAAAAAGCCATCCTTATTTCAAGAAACATGGCATTATTTTCAGGCAAATATTTTTGCTTTATCGTTGCACTCTTTGCAATCTCATTGAAGCCATGTTTTTGCCATAATAATACTCGCTGGAACAGCGCCGGCATCACTTGGTATGGCGACCGAGAAGGTCCTGGCAGCACAGGTAAATAATTAAACCATTAACTGAACCGCAACACCTAGATTAAGTTTGAAAATAATTTTGCATTTTTATAACCGGTTCTTAAAACATATATATAGGAGGAGCTTGTGGATTCGGTGATGCAGTGGCAAAACACCCGTACAATTGTATGGTTTCAGCCGGAGGACCTTCATTATTCAAAGATGGAACGGGTTGTGGGGCATGTTATAGGGTATTTAATTAACATTTAGATATAACAATTTATAATTAACTGAATATCATATTGTAATGTAAAACTCTACTAACATCGTATACATTAAACGTTTTAGCTCGTATGTGACCATCCATTATGCACTAAGAAACCGATTAAGGTGATGATATCAGATGAGTGTGCCGGCTGCACAAAAGAGGCGTTCCATTTTGATCTTAGCGGTAAGGCATTTGGTGCATTGGCCAAACGTGGCAAAGGCGATGAATTACGTAACCTTGGAGAACTCAAGGTTAGGTACAAACGGTACGTATTTGTTAATGAAGTTTGTAAAAAAGTATTTGGTTTAATTTAGTTAGATTGTCGGAAAGAAAATAGTTCAATTTCATTTGGTTTAATAACTTTACCCAAACCAAATAAGTTTACTCATGTACATTATGGATGTTGCATGTTTATATTACGCAGTGCATGTTGCAAACATCCAAAAAGTAAAATAGCTATTCATGTTGATGCCGGAGCAAATCCTTACTACATGTCATTCGCCGTTAAATTTGCAAACGGTGATGGAAACTTTGCATGCGTGGAGATTCAACCGGCCGGTGGAAAATACCTGAAAATGGAGGAGATGAGATCTGCCGTTTGGAAACTTAACCCCGGCTGTGCATTGAAAGGTCCATTCAACGTCAGGCTTACCTCCGCCGTGACCAAAAAAGTGATCGTTGCTAAAGCTGTTATCCCGGAAAAATGGAATCCCGGTGCTATTTACCATTCTCTTGTTAACTTCGCCACTCCCAAGAAAAACAGTCACAAGTAACATACATGAATTGATTTTTTCCCTTCAAACAAATAGTAATGTTTGGAAGAAAACATGAGGCTGTTGAGGTTATGGTTGATAGTAAATTATTTTGATAATTGTAAACACTCGTTATGTACTTCATATATGGGCTAAGAGTTGTAGTCGGATGGCCTACAAAGCCCATGATTTTATAAATCTAAACCGTTTTGGTTCATCTTTCAATGTGGAACAGAGTCTTTAGACCGGATCGGACCACGCTAGGAGACGAGTTAAGTGGTTTAGGGCATCCACATTGATGAACCCCCACTTGGGGTTCATCACTATTTTTTATTATATTTTTGGTGAGACCATGAATAGTGGTGAACCCGCATGAAATGTACGCCTCCATCAATGAACCCGAAGTTGAGGTTCATAGGATTAAAAAATTATTTTTTTTTTAAAAATATTTATTTATTTTTTTTAAATTTTAATATTCAACAGAATAAGAATTTTAGACTTCAAAAAAAAATTCAAAATTTTTCTAAGAAGTCATGAACATTTAAAAATATAATTTTTATTTATTTTATAAATAGTTTTATTCGATACATTGATAATTCATGAAGATACAAAGATTACTAATTGAGATTACCAAACTTTTGCCAAACATTTTCAACCAAATCAGCTTTCAAACGAGCATGGATCTGTGAATCTCGAATTTCATTGCGAACGGCATGCATATTACCGGCATTCAAAGTTGTAGTCGTGTGAACCTGGGAACTTCTGCTCGACTCTCCTGTCTCGAACTCAGATGTATCATAAAGAGTGTATGAAAGTCGTTCGTCCTCAACTATCATATTGTGCAGTATGACACAAGCTCTCATAATCCTTCCTATTTTATTTATGTCCCATAGTAGAGCTGGATTTTTAACGATTGCAAACCTCGATTGCAATACTCCGAAAGCCCGTTCGACATCTTTTCGAACGGATTCTTGACGTTCAGCAAATAGCTCTGCTTTAGGACCTTGAGGAAGTCGGATGGATTGGATAAACGTTGACCAATTCGGATAAATGCCGTCGGTAAGGTAGTACGCCATGCGATAGTTGTGGTTGTTGACCTTAAAATTAACCTTAGGAGCTTGACCTTGTAAAATGTCATCAAACACTGGTGACCGATCAAGAACATTAATATCGTTCAGGGTACCTGGTAAGCCGAAAAATGAGTGCCATATCCAAAGATCGTGTGACGCCACAGCCTCTAAGAAAATTGTCGGCTTTCCTGAACCACGTGTGTACTGGCCTCGCCAAGCCGTTGGGCAATTTTTCCACTCCCAATGCATGCAGTCGATGCTTCCTATCATCCCTGGAAACCCACGAACCTCACTAACATCGAGTAATCGTTGAAGATTTTCTGCCATAGGTCTTCGTAAATACTCATCTTCAAACATATGTATTATACCTTCGCTGAAATTTTCCAGACATAAAAGTGCAGTACTTTCCGCAAGTCGGAGATATTCGTCATTTGAATCTGCGGATTGACCATATGCTAGCATTCGTATAGCTGAAGTACATTTTTGAAGTGCAGATAGTCCGTACCTTCCATGACCATTTCTTCTTTGCTCAAAGTATGGAACTTCATTACTTAGACGATCGACAATGCGAAGGAACAAAGGTTTGTTCATTCGAAAACGCCTCCTAAACATTTGAGGTGTGTATGTAGGATTTTCACTGAAATAGTCGTTCCAAAGTTGGATGTGTCCTTGTTCCCGATTTCTTTCGACATAAGCTCGTTTCGTCGGCTTGTTGGGTAGACTATCCATAAAAGAGTCGATGAAATCATCCACATGTTGATCGACTATTTCATCGAAAAGTGCATCTTCTTGATCACTTGATGAAGAAGACATTTTTTGAATATCCTAACCACCAAAAAACAAAATATTTGATGTTAAGATATAATTATTTAAAAATTTTAACGTACCTTTAATAACATTTAAAAAAAAAATGTATTGTTAATGTACCTTTACTACCAATTTTTAAAAAAGAATCGTGAAGTTTTAATAACATTTTTTAAAAAGTTCATTGTTATTTCACTTTTTATTGGCGTGCAAATGAAACTTTTAAAACTTCAAAATTTTTAAAACTTCAAAATTGGAGTGCATTTTGAATGAGAAATATATATTGAAACAAGTGGTAATATATATTGAAACATATGTTATGCTTAATTTGAAACTGATATTGGATAGTTTACTAGTAATGCACAAAGAGAGACATACAAAACATAAAGATAATGAAAGTGAATTGTAAATATAAACCTCAAACTGATCGACTCTTCAACCTCCACAAAACAAAAGAGAGCAGAAACAGAGAGATATAATAGTAGGAGTTCTTTGTTGCAATGACAAATGAATCAAGCAACATAGTTTATAAAGAGAGAGAGTTCTAGTACATTACATAAACCGTGACAAAAGTACAATAATCAGTGTACAAACAAACAAAATTGTACACTGAACCCGTGACCTCTCCAAAGGCAACAGACAGGAGAGACCAAAAAAAATCTAAATCCGTGAAAGAAACATACAACAAAGCCAGCACCCGTGAACCATCCTTGACCAAGTACCTGCCACAAAAAAACAATGCAATAAGTTAAAAGATCCAATAAAGCAATAAACACAAAATCAATCAAACAAGTTAGTAACAAAATAAAGCAAGCAAGTTAACCAGATCAAAGCATTTCACAGATTAGTTTGTTCTTAAGCTCGAGTTCGTTAGGTGATAGGTCACTGTCTTTTCTGGCAAGGAGATGCTCAAGGAGCTTCTGTTTGGAAATGGTTTTTTTCTCAGCTAGAATGTTCTCTATTTGGTCGAATGCTGCCTCATTAGTGTGTTTCTTGCGTTTGGCAGCCTTGCTAGCCTTAACTCCAGGAGGCCTAGCCTCTTCCTCGCCAGGAACCGGCTCCGAAGCTTCCTTCCTTTTATCTTTTGGACCATCTCTGGACGATGGCTGTGCTTTCCATTTTTGATCAAACCGGAGCTCCCTCCAACAATGTTCAAGTGTGAACTTGGCTTTGTAGTCATTTTCGTAGATGGTATGAGCACTCGTCATGACATCATTGTCACTTTCCCCAGTACCTAGCCCCTTCAAAGCTGCATCATAGGAACCCACAAACTTCCCCACCAGCTCATTAATTCTCCCCCACCTCTGCTTACATTGGCTCATCTCTCTAGGGACTTTTCCTATGAGCTGAGGGCTTGAATTCAAGTATTCTTCAATCCTCTTCCAAAAGGCGCCTGCCTTCTGCTCATTGCCCACAATTGGGTCCTTGCTGGTGTTCAACCAAGCACTGATAAGGACCAGGTCTTCTTTGGTTGACCACTTCCTCTTCAACGGTTTTCCTAACCCGGGAGAGTCACTACGTGGCTCATGATACTCTAAGTCTATTGGTGCATTACCCTGGGAAGCTAGTAGGTTCGCAAACGAGGGAGAGTTTAAGGAAAAATAATCCATTGGTTTTGGTTTTGGTAACGGTTTTAAGTTATTGTGGTTTTAGATGAGGGTTCAAAGCCATTTTAAACTACAGTCATTAACACAATCGAACAACCAAGAATTCATTACTGTTAATTACACAACTACTTAACCTCACAACTCATTCAATACACATCACCTCAAAACATTTATCTCGGACCACCCAACCACCAAAGAGTTAATGTAAAATGTACTTTTAAAACTGATTAAGTAGATGCTTTAATAAGTACTAGAGAACTAGTTCTTCTTGCAAACATTACGTAATATATACTTGCTTTAATAAGAACTAGAGAACTAGTTCGGACAGTTTTTAAAAAATCATGTTACTTATTATATCAAGTTTTAAAAACAATTTACTTTAATAAGAACTAGAAAACGTTTTTAAATGTTTTAAAAACAATGTTTTTAAAAACAATTTACTTTAACATGTTACTTCATATAAAACAGTTTTAAGTAAATACATGTTATTACATATATACTTTAGTTACAAGTAGAGAACAGTACCTTCGGTTTTCATTCGTAGCAGACTCTCTCCAGGTCACCGATGTGCACAGTGAGGTACTCAACCTGACCAGAGAGCTCTTTAACTTGCTCCTGCACATTGAAACTCCATCGAGATTGAGTTAGTAAACTTAGATAACAATAAAAAAATATTCAATGAAACAGAACGTGTAATAAAGGAGTCTAACCTCCAAGAACTCTATCTGTTTGTTGATAGTCTCGACCCCCTTGATCACCTCCTCTGCCTCCTCCACCCGCTTAGTCAACCTTTCCAGCTCCTCCTGGACACCAAATACCCAAGGCTGACGGTAGTGTAATCCATCACCCTAGTTAAAAACATTAACACAAGCAAGTTAGGGAAAATGTTTTATAATTTAAACAAACTATAGAGCTTATTAACTCAAAACATTTACCTCGAATTTCTTGCACGAGAAGAAACGCTTGCCAGGAAGAGTGTCGTAATCTTCCTTCACACTCAGTTCGTCGATGATTCTCCCACCACACGGACACCTTCTTGGTATCCCATACTCTGAGTCAGCAACGTATCCAACAATGTTGATGTGCTCCTTTTCACTCTTCCTGTCTCTTCTCTCTGCATCGGGATCCATCTGAACCAGAAAAACAAAGAATTAGAGACATGAAACGAAACCAAAACCAAAAAGACACAAACTTTCACATAAAGACACAGACTTTCATATTAAAGACTAAGCAAACAAGAGGATGATGATAATGAGAGAGTTTCAATCAAAGTATTTCGAAAACCCAGAGAAACGACTCCTAACACTAACAATTATGCAACCCTAGCTCGAAATCCCCAAATCGATTTCGATTTCCCGAAATCGATTTCAACCCTAAATCGAAACCCAGAGAAACGACTCCTAAAACTAACAACAATGATGGATTAGAACCCTTTACCGAAACCCCTAAGTCAATTAAGCAACCCTAGCTCGAAATCCCCAAATCAATTTCGATTTCCCGAAATCGATTTCAACCCTAAATCGAAACCCAGAGAAACGACTCCTAAAACTAACAAAAATGATGGATTAGAACCCTTTACCGAAACCCCCAAGTCAATAACTAAACCCTAGCTCGAAATCCCCAAATCAATTTCGATTTCCCGAAATCGATTTCAACCCCAACGACTATCTAACCGTTTAATCCACTCGATTCTCACCTTAGATCGTTGAGGAGACACTCCGACGTCGATAAAATCGATCAAATATCACGAGAAACGAAATCCCCTCTCAAATCGCCTCAGAGCTCTCTCAACCCTAATTTGTTTTCGCGAGAGAAGAAATGACTTTCTCTCTCCCAGATCCCTCTTTCCCCCTCTTCTACGCGGATACGGCTTGGCCACTCAGAGAGGGACGCGTGGAGTGACCCCGTATCATACGGGTTCACACGAGTGAACCGGATCACTCGAAAATGGGCATTTTTTTTTTTTTTTAATTTTCGGCCCTGACAATCCCGGCCCATGAATCCCTCTAAAACCCTCGCTGTGGATGCCCTTACATGTGAACGAAAGGTGGTGCACATAACACAATTAGCAAATAAAAAAAAAAAAAAATTCTACTAGGACCTTTTCACAAGTTTGGTAAATAAAGATTTCCCAAACTCACTTAGAAAGTCTCTTTGTTGTTAATCACCTAACTGTAGGTTTGAGGTTAAAAGTTTTAAACGCGTTTTATTAGAATATACAAATACGAACAGAAAATATAATGCAAAGTTTTTGTTATTAGAACAAAACTCTAAATTGATAATGGGTTTGCACAGATGATGGCATCTTGACTTGTTCTTCTTTCTAACACACTGTACCTTCTTTTAACCAATAAATATCCAAATTAAAAGGAACACGTCACATGTTTTAATTTATCTATCATGATTCTACGCACTTAAGCTTTAATTCATCTGCTATAAACGTATTTTGAATTTTTGAGTCTGTTGTGAATAACTTGTAAGCTGGTCAAATCACATTGAATTGAGCCTGAACTTTTGGACAACGTTTTTGTTTTTGCTGGTCCGTCGTTACAACCACACACTATTCCTATAAGACTTTCTTACAACGATAGAACTCAAATTCCGAAAATACCCTTACATGCTTTCAAGTAACTTATTTTATTTTTAGGCGAAAGTTTTAAAAAAATAAGGACCTAAAAATAGACAGCATCCAGCTGCATTGCGTTGCGTCTGCTATTTCTTGTGAACAGAAAACTTCTTAACTATTTTTAAACACAAAGGGTAAATCGGGAGATTTAAGAAAATGTTTGTAGAAACGGGCAAGGGCTCGCATGTTACATTGTCCTTTCTTCAATTTCATGCATACGCTTTAATTAGATTTTTCTCCACTTTCCGTTTTATAGATCAAATTAAACTAAGTTTTGTTAAACAGTAACAGAGAACTAAATAAACAAATTTAATTTAGTTGGTTTCTTATAATCTTCTCGAGCGTGTTGTATACAAATATATATATATTGGTGGGGAGGAATGCTTGTAGATTCCACTTCTCTTTTACCTTTTTCTTCTTCTTCTTCTTCCTCTCTTTATTTGTTATTGAAGATGGAGAGCTACTACAAGTGTAGGTTTTGCTTTAAAAGCTTCTGTAGTGAAAGAGCTTTAGGTGATCACATGAGATCTCACATGCCAAGTCTTAAAGAACAAGAGGAGGAAAGGGCGAGTCAACTCAGTGATGAGACAGAGTTAGATGTTTCTTCGTCTGAAAAAGGAGAAGATAGAAAGAGAAATGGGTTCTTCAGAGAGAAGCATCAGATGATGGAAGACAATGAAAGCGAGACCGAGTCCTCGAGGAATATTACCAACTCGAGACGTAAACGATCCAAGCGAACTCGGAAAATCGGTTACAAGACCGAGCCTGAGTGCGAGCCTCCTCAGAGCTCAGGTTCGGATACAACGACGGATGAAGATCTAGCCTTTTGTCTCATGATGCTCTCAAGAGACAAATGGAAGAAGAAGAAGAAGAAGAACAACAAAGTTAGTAGTAAAGAAGAGATCGACACAGAAGCATCACAAGGTTACAACAAATCGAGCAAGAAAGGAAGATTCACGTGCGAGACTTGTGGGAGAGTGTTTAAATCTTATCAGGCATTAGGTGGGCACAGAGCAAGCCACAAGAAGAACAGAGTTTCAAACAAAACAGGCCAACGAAGCGAAACAGAGTATGATAACGTGGTTGTTGTTGCTCCAGAGAAGAGAATCCATGAATGCCCGATTTGTCTTAGAGTTTTTGCATCGGGACAAGCACTTGGAGGTCACAAGAGATCTCATGGAACTGGGAACTTGTCTGTAAATCATCATCATCAAGTAAGAAGTGAGTCAGCGAAACAGAGGATGATAGATCTTAATCTTCCTGCACCAACCGATGAAGAAGAAGTCTCTGTTGTGTTTCAGTAAATGCTGAATAAAGGTAACAGACTTCGCGTGATTCGGGTCATCCAAATTTTCCTAAAGCTTGAATATTATTATTATATTTTGGGGTCGAAGTTGAACTAGAAAAATTGTTTATTTTACATTCAAAGGAGGCTACTTTTACATGTTCTAACGCCAATTCTCCTTTTTCGTATTGGCCTCACGTCGTGTTGTCTATCCATATCATTTGAAGAACATTAGCTTCTACTTAGTTTATAAACTACTAATGTATATGTTTATATTAAATCATATATTCTGGGAGTTCTTGCTTCTTCTTCGTTAATATTGAAAGCTACTATTAATAATAGTGAGCTACTATTAATAATAGTGCCCACTTGACTTATCTCACTTCTCTTTGTATTAGAGTTAGTCAAGAATCTGTAAAGATAAGAATCCTTTTCAAGGTCCAGAGATATTAATAGTCTTGTAGTAAAGAAGACGTTACTTCAATAAAGCCCTACTCCAAACTTCCAACTTCATAGTCAGGGTACATTTGTAGTGTACCTATCACATATTTTTGCCAAAAAAGAAAAAAATTCCAATTTCTCGCAATGCATATGCCAATTTTTTTAATCAAAAGGTTAGGGATATCTTTGAAATTTATGAAAATTGAAACAATTATAATCTGGAGGCAAATTATCTATATGCTTATATTATTGATGATTTAGAAACCACAGAATCCCTACATCAAAATTTAGGAGCAAGACAAATATTTCGTTGTCTTTAGGATCCTGCTAAAAAAAAAAATTATTATTTCTTAATTTCACTAATTCCTAGTTGTTTTAGGTGCAGTTCACTTTATTATTGGTTAGTTAAAACGGTGTAAAAGTCTAGGTTGCATAAGTAGATTTGCGTTTGGTCTACCAGAAATGTAGAATTATTCTTAGAGTATACTTTATTCTATACTTATGGCTTGAAGCAAAACCCACTAACTTTCACCACCCCAATAGAATCCAACAAATTGTGATTCCGAGTGGTTGTATCCAAGTAATTGCAAGCTCGACTAATCTCAGTTCTCACAATATTCTTTGTCAGACTAATTACTTGGGATTTGGTGATATTAGTTTCCTGTAATAATTTCATCTGATATGATCATTTTCCAAATTTTGGAGGCACTAAAGTGTTTGAAGTTGGAATGAAAAATCTAGTAAGTTAATTGAAAAAGGAAACTGTAGCCACATAGTAAATGAAATCACTTTTCAATAGGTGCATCTTCCCTTTGTGAGCCGTTGGTACAAAAAGGATCCTGCGACTTACACTAGCTAACCTTCACGAAATTCGCATATGAAAGGCATAAACAAAAGCACACCTAAACCATCAACCAAAAGTAAACAAAATAAATACGATTAAAAAGTTGAGCTAGTTTGGTCTACTCAACTGGTAGCTTACTTCACAAATTTGCTGCTGTTGATTAGACAAGCACTCATGCTTATGAAAGACAAAATCAGGTTAAGACGGCCTGAATACAATATCTTATTTTTAGTTTTACTTTTGTATACTTTTAAGTTTTAGAATATTTTTGGATCCAAAATTTGTATATTTTCAGAGTATTTTGTTCTAATACTGAGGCGAAAATTGGATACAACAGAGAATGACAAAGCAAGGTTGGTTTAGTTGAGAGTTTAAAAACTGCATGAACTGTAGTGAAAATCTTAGTAGGTTTAGAATCTATAGAGTTTAATATATATGATAAATAATCTTATGAAAAGCAAACATATATAATACGTACATTTTATTTTTAGCTTTGGCTAATCTGAGAATTTGGAATTTTAGTTGGAATATCATCTTTAGGTTGTACTAAAACAAAGAAAGGGTTTTTGTAGAATTGACCTGAAACTTGAAGTCAACCACAAAACTAATCTCTTTTTTTTTGGAACTTTATTTTGCCCAATTCACCCCACAAATTCATATAATTCACGAAAATGCCATCATTTTGTTTTTTTTTTTCGAAAATAACATATTTACTCTCTCACCCTCATCATCTTCAAGTAATTACAAGATTGCCATTGTCATCAATACTCCAACAACCATGAACAACCAATTTTGAAGCTCTTAATGCCTCCAAATTCCATTTACCCTTCTTCTTTCTCTATTCTCGTGAACTAAACAACACATTACAACACATATCTCTCACTTTCTCTCCACAATGAGCTAAAAAAACCCAAGATTTTGATTCTACATTTTTTAGGGTTCATATAGTCAAAGAAATTAAAGATTCAAGGTGGATTACCTTCGTTTGAGCTCCTGAGTGCTTGATTCTACATTTTCTAGGGTTCATATAGTCAAAGAAAGTGCTCNTCTCTCACTTTCTCTCCACAATGAGCTAAAAAAACCCAAGATTTTGATTCTACATTTTTTAGGGTTCATATAGTCAAAGAAATTAAAGATTCAAGGTGGATTACCTTCGTTTGAGCTCCTGAGTGCTTGATTCTACATTTTCTAGGGTTCATATAGTCAAAGAAAGTGCTCTCACCAATTGAAGGTATGAAATCGAGTTCTTTTTTGCGATCTGTTCGTCAGAACGACTGAAATTTCAGTCGTCTACTTTCGTCCAGTCAACGCAGAAGTTATTTTTGCAATTGACTTTGCAATTTGTTTCCAGAGACGACTGAAATTTCAGTCGTCTACTTTATTTTGGCTACAAAAAAATATCTTAAGAATCTAGACGACTGATATTTCAGTCGTCGTATGTTAGTTTTGCATATGACTAGAAAATTTCAGAATTTTGACTTTCTAGGACGACTGAAATTACAGTCGTCTGCGAAAAAACTGAAATATAAATTTTTTATTGGAACGCACGACTTATAATAGGTTAGTTTTGCAATTGTGAAAAAAAACTTTAACTTTCTAGACGACTTACAATTCAGTCGTCCGCCAGACGTCTTACAATTCAGTCGTCCATGATTTTATTCCGAGATTCTGGCCAAACCTCGTAAATCCTAGACGACTCAATTATAAGTCGTCCCAGGGACGACTGAAATTTCAGTCGTCTAGATTTTTTTAAATATTGAAGTTTGTTTTCGCAATTGCAAAACTAACCTACGACGACTGAAATGTAAGTCATCCAATTTCAATAAAATATTGATATTTCATTTTTTCGCAGACGACTGAAATGTAAGTCGTCCTAAAAAGTCAAAATTCTGAAATATTCTTGTCAAATGCAAAACTAACCTTCGACGACTGAAATTTCAGTCGTCTGGATTTTTTTTATCAAACATACTCAGACGACTGATATTTCAGTCGTCCCAACTAACTGATTTCAAAGTTAATTGCAAAAATAACCTCTGCGTTGACCAGGCGACAGAATGTTTAGTCGTCTGGACGACTTACATTTCAGTCGTCTGCTTCGATCTCTAATAAACTTTCTTTTTCTTTCTTCTATGTTTGCTAATGTGTTTTATTTTTACTATCTCAGATGATGCATCAGTTACGTGGAGAATGGTTGTTGGAAGATGGTTGTTGGAATTTTGTGGTTGATCGTTTCAAAGGAGCAAGATTGTTTTTATTGAATGAAGATTCAACACATGCTGAACTTGTGGCAATGGCTCAAGAAGATTATAACATGGACATGAGAACAGTCACTGTGGAGATTAGTTACTCATTACCAGCTCCAGACCTTCCTCCTATTCATGTTACAAGTGATAGACAAGTTCGAAACTTGCTCGAGATAACCAAAACGCAAGAAGTACGTCTTTGTGTATCAAGCTTTTGCAAGATGAGAACGGTTTCAGAGGAAATGGATGAAGCTGAGGATGCGGCTGATGTGGGGGATGAAGCTGATGTGGGGGATGAAGATCAGGAGGGGGATGTAGCTGAGGATCATGATAGGGAGGAGGATGCTGACATCCCTGTTGTCGCTGAAGATTTTTATGATCATGAGGATTACAGTCAATTTGGAAAGGTTAAAGACGAGGATGAGGAATAAGATGATGAAATTTGTTTTGAAGATTACGGAGAGGCATATGGCTGTGAGGGAAAAGGATCATCTGCAGAAAAAATCTATGTAAACCAGAGTTTTACTAGCAAGGATGCACTGCTTTCAGAGTTGCGGTTGAGCGCGGTGAGGCGCAGGTTCTCCTTCAGAGTTTACAAGTCAACAAAAACTCTCTTTGTGGCAACATGTCGGGTTAGTGGTTGTCAATGGAAGATCAGAGCAAGTGTGAAACATGGGACTAAGACGTTTTGGGTAACAAAGTATTTGAAAACTCATACATGTTCCACCGGAGACAGAATCGCTGGGTGGAAACACTCTACTCCGAAGTACATTGGTCGACTCTTCATAGATCGTGTTGGAATCATTGATGGGTTGAATCCGCAGCATATCAAAGATGCAATGAAGAACATGTTTGGCATGACACTTGATTACACCACTTCATATAGAGCATTGTTATATGCGCGAGAATTGGTGTGGGGATCCGCGGAAGATGGGTATGAGCGACTTCCTTCATATTTGGAGCAAATCAAGGCAACAAATCCGGGTTCTATCACTGCTATAGAATATGATTCTCAGAAAAGATTTAAGTATCTTTTTCTCGCTTTTGGAGCTTCTATCAGAGGTTTTAAGTATCAGAGAAGGGTCATTGTGGTAGATGGGACTCACCTAAGTGGAAAGTATGAGGGTACTATGTTGGTTGCAGCCGCACAAGACGGTAATTTTCAGATATATCCATTGGCTTTTGGGATCGTAGATTCTGAAAATGATGAATCTTGGGAATGGTTTTTCACAAATTTGGCGAGTTGTGTATCTGCTGAGCATTCTCTGGTGATAGTCTCTGACAGGCACACAAGCATTATAAGTGCATGTGAGAAGGTGTTTCCTTGGGCAACACGAGGAATATGTTATTATCACCTTCAAGAGAATATTGTCAAAAAGTATAAAGGGAAGCATCTTTTGTACTTGGTGAAAGGTGCTGCTTATGCTCATACACTTTACGACTTTGATCGGTACATGGCTGAGATACATAGTGCAAATCCGGATCTTCATGAGTATCTGGTGGACGCCGATGTGAGCCTATGGTCAAGGATTCATTTTCACGGAGACATGTACAACTTAAAAACGAGCAATATCGTTGAATTAATTAATTCCGCACTGAAGCGAGCAAGAGGGTTTCCTATTCAGTTCCTGTTGGAGTTCATAAGGGAGAAGCTAGGAAGATGGTATTGGAAAAAGGAGAGGAGATGCGTTGAGTCTTACAACTCAACATAGTCGAGGTGTTGAACACTTGCTTGCTGTTCGCGAGGAGATCGCAGATACTCTAAGAGTCCAA